TGGGAAATGAACGTCCCAAGTGAATACCTTTTCAAATCTAGGGTCTTGAAGGCTTTCATGGCATAAATGTGCAAACTTTATGGCCATAGAATCCCCCATGCAACCTATAAACCATCACTTTGTCCTTTTAAGCTCCAAATAGCCATGCATGAAGAGAAAGATGAAGACTTACGTGTTCATCTAGTCTCTAAGGTCTAGATCTCTGTTTGTATACCCTATCTTGAAGTTTTTATGGCTTTTGGATTAAGATCTAGGTCTTTTAGAGTTAGGGTTTGATACATCTCCTAAGGGGGTATTAACGGGTAAAGTTGGACACTTTACCCTTTTAGAGGCATTTCTAGCCTAGATCCAGAAGATAGGACCTTGGACTTAAAGAATAAGGACTTAATGCATGAAGTGGTTTTGACAGACTGAAGAACTCGAAGAGCTCTTAGAGGGACTCGGAGAGTTGAGTTGGGATTGCTCAATCCTGATGAAAAGGAGGCAACTCGTCGAGTTGCAGGGGAAACTCGACGAGTTGGGTCGGGACTCGGCGAGTTGAGATGGGATTGCCCGATCCCGAAAGAGTTTAATGTTATTTCACCCACCAAATGAATGCCCGAGAGGCCAGAGTTTCCAAATGAATAATTTTAAACGCAACAAAAAATGAGTATCGCGAAACACATAGCAAAAAAAATTCCTTACGAGGCAGTGTGAAAAACTTTAAAAAGTCATCATTTTATTAGAATTTATTAGTGATTGTAGTTGGATTAATTTGTTGTTCTTTTTATTTTACTGTTTGTAATACTTCAATTATTTTTTCCATTTTAACTTTCATTTAATTTTCATTTTAAGATTTTAATTTATATTTTATCATAGTGTGTTTTTTAGTGAAATGTTATTTTTAATCTTTTTATAGTTTTTTATTAAATTATTTAAAGTTTAATTTGAAAAATGAAAGAAAAATGAAAATTTAATAAGTTGGAAGAGATGTGAAAGATGAACTTTCATATGTTTATGGGATGAGAAATGTGAAAATAAGAGAGTAAAAAAAGTGCATATTCTTTTTTTTTTTTTTGAATGTTTATTGGCATAAAAATATGAATACGAATAAAAAAATGTATTTTTTATATTTTTTTAATATTAATTTTTGAAATTATTATTAACTTTTTTTAATGCATTTTTTTTACAATGCACATTATATATATAATATAATATATAATATATATATATATATATAATATATATATATATATATATATATATATATATATAGGTTCATTTGAGATCACCTATATTTTGTGAGACATGGGGACCAAATCTGAGCCTTTGATTAGATTTGATCTTGTGGCTCATAAAAAAAGGATTAACATTAATTAATCTAGCTGATTAGTTAATTAGGGGTAGATTAGTCACTAGGTTAAATTTAAGATATCAGGTTCGCTTAATTTTCACGTCATCCAGAAATCATCTCACCTGTTTCTACCAATTTATACGATGAAACAACATTCATTGTTCTTCAATTCAATTTGATCGATATTCTATCTCCAATCTTATATTCTTTCAACCGATAATCGATTTGATTTTTGACATTGATCGAACGATGCTAAATCAGAGCTTTTAAATTCACGATTTTTGTGTTATTCGAGTTCATGTTCTTGATTCTTCTTCATCTACAATTGATAAGCTGAGTGATTTTGATCAATTTTAACTTTGTGATCATCGATTTCGGTAGAGGTTCAAGTGTTCAACGATTTCTTCTAATCCTCATCTTCAACAATTGTTTACGATCTTTCAAGCCGTGAATTTTACTCAACATCATGAAATCGTCAATTGATAAAGGTTTGAGTTTTCATTGATTTCACTGTTAGTTGCATATAACGTATTCAATTTTTAACCTAGTTCATGAATTGAATCATCAAGCTATTATCGATTTCTCCAATTTTATATTTGTATTGATTTGTGATTTCAGAAATCAAACATCATCTTTTGTTGAGACATCCAATTCAGCAATCAAAGATCATTTGTTGTTGAATTTGTTTGAGCTAGAAAACAATTTAATCTATAATATGTTGTTTGACAATGCATCACCTATTTCATTGTTTGTTTTTTAACTTTTAATTCAATCATTATGTTTTTCAGCAATATGTCATCTGTTTTCTTTTGATTAACATCATCTATTTGCATTTCATTAACATCATCTTAGTGATAAGTTCATGATAAGTTCATGAGACTACATGTTATTCTTATAGAATATTTTACTTACATTGATATATCAATAAGGATAACAGTTATGGATGATTTGGATATGCATGACATCGAAAACAATCATCTCAATGAAGAAAATCATCAGTTCGGTTCTACTGATTCAGAGATTCTTCATAACGAGGAAAATCAATCGGAAACCCAAGGTAATCATTGTTTTCATTGTTATTTGCATATAACATATTCAATTTTTAATGTAGTAACAGTTATGTATGATTTAGATATAAATGACATCGGAAATGATCATTACGATGAAGAAAATCATCAATTCAGCTCTGGTGATTCAGAGATTCTGCATAATGATGGAAATCAATCGGAAATCCAAGGTAATTCTATTACTGATATCGGTTATTCTTTATAGAATGATGTTGGTGATAAGTTCATGTTACTGCATATTATGCTTATAGAATAATGCACATATAAGATTGTGGTTTTTTATGATTACAGTCATATGAATGCAAATTATTATGATTATATGTTAACATGGTAGTATATTCTTTTTTGTAGTTCAAAGTGACAATGTTGCAGCACAATATGGCTCTTGCAAACAATTCATTGGAGCTGATGGTTCTTTATTTTGGATTCCAGAGGTTGAACCTAGTTGGATACCTACTTTGGGTTCAATTTTTAAAGATATCAAAGATGCTATTAAGTGGTATAAAGGATATGCATTAAGATCTGGTTTTGATATTAGAAAATCAACAGAGAGGAAAAAGAGTGGAATCACAACTTCGAAATATTTTATATGCAATAGAGGGGGATTGCCAAACACTTCTACCTTAGACACAATTAGTGATGATCATAACAAGCAATTAAGAAATAGTAATTGTAAACGCACAAATTGCAAAGCTTTTGTTGCATTCAAAGCTATACCACATTCTTCAGAAGTTTACCTGTGGCGCTTTGAACAACAACACAACCACAAATTGATCAATCAAGATTGTATGCATCTTTCAAGAGCTAAACGTCAGTTGAATGTTGTTGATCAAGCTTTTATACATAAGCTTTTGAGTGAAAAGGTGGGGGCAACTACAGCATATAGACTAATGTGCGTTATAAAAGGAGGATGTGAATTTGTTGATGGACTAGAGATAGATTGGAAAATTTTTACAAGGGATATAAATTGTCACATCGGGGGCACTGATGCAAATTTGTTGATTACAAAGCTTCAGAATCGTAAAGAGAATGTTACAAATTTTACATACGAATACAAATGTGACAAGAAGCAGTTAAATGCTCTCTTCTGGGCTGATGACACTTCAAAACAAAACTTTGAGTTATTTGGGGACATTGTTTCGTTTGACGCAACATATCGTACAAACATGTATTTATTCTAGAAATATAAACATTTTTAGTTATATATTCTAATGGTATTTTTTTTGTGTTTTTTTAGGTATTGTATGGTATTTGTACCTTTTACTGGCATTGATAATCACAAAAGGTGCGTCACTTTTGGAGTTGGTTTGTTGTGTAGAGAAGATACAAATTCCTATATATGGTTACTTCGGTCATTCTTGAAGTGTTTTGGAAAAGCACCAATCATGGTCGTGACCGATCAAGATCCAACAATGATAAAAGCTATTAAAGATAGTATTGCCATACACAAAACATAGATTTTGTATGTGGCATATCACAAGTAAACTTCCATTGAAGGTACTAACATTATTGTTATATTCTTATCAGAATATTCTTATCAGAATATTAAATGAAATATTTTTTGTAATTAGGATAATAGATTAAATGAAATGCCTTTTTATACTATATTATATTCTAACAGAATAATATATGAATTGTTTTTGAAGGTAAGCTGGGAAACAATGAATGAATCGGATTTTAAGGCGGACTTCAATAGTATAGTATGGGACTCCAAAATTGTTGTCAATGATTTTGAAATGAGATGCATTAATGGTAAAATATAAGTTGCAAGACAATAAATGGATGAAAGATATGTTTGATTTGAGAAGCAGTTGGATTCCAGCCTATTTTAAAGATGTATCGATGTCAGGTCTAATGAGAACAACTTCTCGGTCAGAAAGTGAGAATTTAGCATTCAATAGGGTATCGCATCATGGTTATACGTTAAACAATTTCATGAATGCTTTTGAGTCTGTTATGGAAAGGCAAAGGAATAATCAGATCAAATTTGATTTTGATACATCTACTATAATTCCAATCATCAAAACACCTCTTGAAGATATGGAGAAACATGCATCTATGGTATACACCAAGACTATTTTTCTCATGGTGCAGAGGGAGATTCTTCATTCACTTGTTTCTTGTTCACATAAGAGTGTTACATCAGGCGTTGTTTCTGATATATGCATTGTCAAACATAAAAGGACAAATATATCAAAGAAGAAGGTAGTAGTTGAGAAAAAAGAAAAAGTTGACATCGATTCTGAATGGAATTTTTACACAAGTGAAGGTGATTTTGAGGTAATGTTGACATTTTAGAATATACTAAAGATTTATGACATACAAGAGATCCCGTCAAGATTTATGACACATCTTCTGTATTTTAAAGATTTATGACATACAAGAGATCACGTCAAGATACATTCTTAAGAGATGGAGAAGAGATATTATCCCCACCACAGTTTTGAAAAGGACGTTTAGATATGTTGATTCGTTTGGAAATGTTGAGAAGGTTGCATACAAAGCTTTTTCCATGCTTGATCAATGCTTGTCTTCATTAAGTAATGATGACAAGAAGTTAGAAGAGTTCATGCAGAAGCTTGAAGTTTTTATGACTGATATTGGTGAACAAGGTTCAGACAAATTACCGGTTACAAAAGAAGCTCATATTGATAAACTTTACGGAGCTACTACGAATCCTGAAGTTGTTGATGTTGAAAATCCACCTATGGTGAAGAATAAAGGTTCTGGTACAGGAAAACGTTTAAAAAGTGCTTTGGAGAAGGCTACTATTCAAGGTAACAAGCAATCAAGATCATGCAAAACATGTGTGGTTAAAGGGCATAATTCAAGGAAATGTTTGACATTGTTGAATAACTCCAAGGTACAAAGTGCATAGTTGTGTCTAGAAATATATTTCGATTTTTTTCGTATTTCAATAAAGTTCAATAATACCATATAGATAAAAGTTTGAATTTTTTAGTTTGGATTTTTTTTCTATTGTTTTGGTTTGTGATAATGTATGAGACATTTGGGTTGTGATGATGTGTTATACATTTGAGAACATATTGATTCTTCTAATATTTTCAATCTTTAATTTTTTGAAGTATATACGAATGATTGCAGTATAATGCTTTGTTATCAAAATATTATAATACAAGATTATGCATGTAAGAATGTTATATAGGTATATGCAACATCTAATATTATTCTAATAGAATACTGATTCCATTATACATTATTCTATTAGAATATTCTACCATGGTCATTAAGAAGTGATCATAATACCTACTATACATTAAGCATTAATCACCTAATAAACCATATCAAGTTTCTTACATAATACTAGGCATCATTTTTTTTGTCTAATTTATTCAAAATAATACAGATATTAGAAAAGGAATTGTTGTTAAGTCACCATAACCACATTTATAAAATTCCAAACTTCTATCAACTTCTATTTACTACCCATTTCCAATTCATCCATGCTTTGGATACCTTCCTCTAACATCTTTTTTCTAGTCGCATGATCAAATTTTCCAAATTCGATTGCCTCTTTGATAACTCTCTCCTTGTGGTTGTTGATTTCATGTGTAGCAATGTTAACAAAATATAAGGCACGTAATTTTACAAATTGAACATCTTGCACATCACTGCCTTTTTCCATTTCCACATTCCACTTTCCTTGCTTTTCTCCACAATATTTTTCCATATGTCTCATTAAAAGTGCTCCATTCTCTGTTGTCAACGTCTTTGTGTTCCAGTCAATTTTCATCATCTTCACTGTTGTTGATCGCAAACCTTCGATTTTATTGACGATAAATGTAGTTTTCTCCAAATATCGTATAAAGTACAATTTCTGCAATGTATATTAACAAAATTACATTATTCAATATATTATATTGTAACTTTAATACAATTAATAAAAGTAAATGAAAACTTACTAATGATGTTGGTGTCATTCCATAAGTTTCTTCTAACGATTTTGTTTGTATGCTGTCTATAATATAAACTTGTGGATATGTTAGGTTGAAAACAACAGCATACATCTGATCACCGTTATGTATTGGGAAAACCACCTGCAATTCCAACAAATTCATCAAAAAGTTAACATAATTCCTATCTTTTAATAATGTAATATTTTAATTAATAAAATATTCTTACGAGTTTAAGATCATTGAAATCTACATTTGCCTTGAAATTAGATAGAAACTTATCAACACGAGTCTCAAAAGTTAAAAAACGCTCGTCAAAAGATTTAGTTTCATCTAACAACTCAGAACTCTGTAAACATAGAAAAACAGAAAAATTAGAATATCTTGTTACAATTTACAACTAAAATATAGAAGTTCCAATTGTAAAAGAATTTACCATAATTTTGGTATTGAAGAACAGGCGGTATGGTTTACTTTTTGATTTTTGTTCCTCGTAATTTAGAACAGCAGCCCAAGAATCAATCACACGATGATGTATAACATGTTCAGGCCACATGCTCTCAAAATCATGTTTATGCATAATCTCTCCCGTATTTGTTTCAAAAAGTACCTCCCTTAATTTTAAACATGAATAAAAAATATGTCATCAACATTAGAATAAATATACACATGTATTATACCAAGAGTTAGTGACTTACATTCTATTTTTCTCATGTGCACATCTTATTAGAACCTGAATCAAAAGAACATTCTGCAAATCGATTCTATCAAATAAATTCACAGCTTTATCCATATATGGTGATTTGTAAGAACTTATATAATTCTCCCCTGTGTCACCATTTTTAGATTCAACCCTTTCATGTGATCCCTTTTTTTTTTTTGTTTTCATTGTTTTGATTAACAGCACTAGAAAAAATAGGATCTGAAAATAACTTAATGAACTTCTCTTTCAATTCATTTGTTATATTGACATCTCGGAACTTTGATATACAATCAGAAACAATTCCACACATGTCCTCCTTTATTGATGAAACTTTATTAAACATCTTATCAAAGTTATCTTTATATTCCTGAAAAATAATAAAATAATATAATTATGAGCATGTAATATTTTATCATCTCAGAATATCTAGAATATTTACTATGAACCATAAGCATGTAATATAAGAATATCCAGATTTTTATAAAATCATACTTTAACCTAATATAAAAAGACATTAGAATATTTTTCTTATATTAAGTTACGATATAATTAAAATATATTCTAAAACATAATTTAATAATATATTCTACTTAGAATATAACTCAATACGCGTGTCCTGATTTTCACCTGATTTTCATTCTTCTCAAGTTCTAAATTTGAACTTTGTTCGATTAGATTCCCAACCCCAAATCCACCAGCTTCAATCTCAAAAGATTGTCTTTCCTTCAACTTATCTGCTATCCACATCGTAACTAATGGTGTTTTACGTTCTATTTTTTGGAGCTTGCATTCAATATCATCACAGTAAATTAGCTGCATTATTTTAACATCATATTAGATATCCATTTTTAAGAAAAAAAAAATAAGTATATGAAAAAACATACCGATAGCAACAACATCAGGCCTATATAATAACACTTGGGGTTGTCTGGATGCCATCTCCCTTTTGAATTTTTCACACAGTACAACAAATATGCACACCAATCGATTTTAGAAATTTCATCTACTTCAACAAGTGCTCTAACTGGAACTAAGTTGTTTGTCCCCATAGGAAGGGATTCTGCAAACGTATTAACAAATAAAGCTATGAAACCCAGCTTGAAATTCATATCCACTTGTTCGGATTTTTGAATAATCTTCTTGTAGTTTGTTGCATTTGCCTTTCTGTCTTCAAGTTCATTCATCCATCCATCAAACACTTGATGATCTTCACTAACCTTGTCCAAATCAAATAAGCTTTTTCCAGTTTTGGGTAAACCAAACACTTTATGAATTTTTTCCTTTGTGATCTTTATTCTTTTTCCTTTAATCAGAATACTGTTTGTGCCTTCATCATAATGATTAAGCACAAAATGGCAAAGTTTTAAGGGAATACTCTTAATGTTGATCTTCAAAAAGGCTTTAAATCCCATCCGTTTCACCCAATCTTTTTGTTCTGATGTCAAAGAACTTACAACATCTGTCATCAATCCAGGTGTCGATCTAGTGTTTATTGAAGGCAACTCCTTCAATATATCTTTCACAGTCTTTTGCTCTTTCACGGTTTTTTGTTTCTTTATTGCTGCACGATTGTCCCCACTATTCGTCTTCCGTTTTCCTTCTTTAATCTTTGTCACTACAAAGTAATATTCCAAACAGAATATTATACATATACACTTATTATATCAGAATATTCTATGAAATTTAATCCAAAAATACTATATCATCTAAGTAAAATGTAGATATTTATTCAAAATATATTATTTATAAAAATTAAACTCAAATGTTGCAAAATCCTATATCAGCTAAGTAAACAACAAAAAAATCAAGTATAACATGATTTATGATATAATAATATATAGAATGTGTAATATGAACCATAAATATTTCATATCATAGAAACATACTTTCATATCAATAAACAATAGAAAAATACTTTCAGATCAAAATACCAAGAATTTTCAGTTATGATCCATAAGCAATTGATGTCAAAGATAATATTGTTCCATGATATTGGAATTGTAAAGTATAAAATCATAATGATGTAAAATGCTTCTGCTAACTCTAATTGTAAATGCATAATCAATAATAACAAATATGAATTTTACCTATATATGACATTTTTGTTATTAGAATAACACTAATACACAAGATATTATAGTACAAATACAATAATTGATGATATACCTTTTTTTCTTTGGCTTTTGCTGTTGTATTGGCTGATTCATCAATAAGCTTCAATGATTTTCTTCTTTCAATTAGTCGTTCGGCTATTGAAGTTTTTTCATGAGTTTTATCCATATACAACCTTCTTGCTGTTTATTGTCATTTTCATAATCAAATTAGGAAATAATAATTGATTTATCATATCCAAATATCTAGAGTAACATTTAAAATATTCTACTAGAATAAGATTAATAGAACATAGAAAAACATTAATAGAATATAGAATATTTTATTTGTAATACATAGAATAACATAAACAAATGAGATAAATATATTATATTTGAAAACATTGAATACACAATATATCATTTATTCTTTTATATTATTATAATACATAGAATAGTTTATTAAAGTATATAGAATAACAGAAACAAATTAGATTAACAATTAAAAATATTATATTAGAATAAAATTAATAGAATATAGAAAAACAATAATAGAATATAGAATATTTTATTATAATACATAGAATAACAGAAATAAATGAGGTAAATATTTTTATTAGAATAGAATAATTGATGATATACCTTTTTTTTGTTTTTCTTTTGATGTTGTAGTTGTTAATTGATTGATCGACTTCGATTATTTTCTTTTTTGAACCAACTATTTGCCTGTTGAAGTTTCAACTTCACTATTTCTACCCAGTGTCATCATTTTTATTTTTGATTTTGTCATTCTTGTTATAATATTATCTGCATGAAAATAATTAATGTTAAATACAATTTAAATGTAATCTGTAATAGAAAAACACTTACATTTATTTCAAAATTATATTCTAACTCATCATAACACATACACACAAAGAAAACAACATATAAAGATACACATAATAAATTTAAAGCAAATTGACCAATATGCCCCTGCACTGTTTCTTTATGAGATTAAAATTACTCGAATTTTCTATAAACACAGTTACATACATACACATTAAAAACAGAAGCAAATTGATGAATATGTCCCTGTACATAGTATTTTTTCCATCCACTTACCCTAGTGATGCTTGACTTAACCATGCATAAAGTTTATATAATGATTAAAGTTTTGTGTAAAAGAACAGTTAGAAGTTGAATCACATAGTAAGATGTCAAAAGTGGAATGATAACTCTCTATTTTTCAGAAAATGCAGAAAACACATATAATAACTTGATTGTTAATTACACAATTTTGTTTTTGTTTATGTGATGAGTTCTATACTAATTCAGATCAAGTTCTGAATTATTAGAGGACATAATATGCAATTGTTTAATGGAAAAACTTTATTATTCTTATTCAGACCAAGACCACCAGGACCAATACCATGAGAATGTTTCTTTTCATATCTGCCTTGAAAGCACTTGTGTATATTTCCTTTTTCACATACACACAAAATCTCAAAAGTAATAAATAAATGTGTTTGGTTGAATCAAAACTGAATGCCCCTGCAAATAGATGAAAGGCTAAAGCTTTATTTATCATTAATCCAAAGAATCCCACATAAGAATGTATTAAATGTAATATAAGTAGGGGCATATTTTTGTTATAAATACATACTCAAACAACACAAAAACGCTCATATTCACTAAGAAACAAGAGCCCGATGCCCTAATTATTAGTATGTAGATATGGAGACTGGAGGAACAATAGAAGGTCAATTCTCAAAGATATATCGTCGTTTTCAAACGAACTCAAGGATATAAATGATAATTAACAGAACTAAAATACCTGGAATTTCTTGAGAAGTTTTGGTAATAATGGCATTTAGGTGATCTGATGGTGTAGATTCTGAAGCACGTGTTGATGTAGCCATTTTCGTTGATAAGAAATACTCGATAAGAATGAAATTAAGTAAGTTTAGGGTTTTATCGATGTTATCAAGTGAAAATCGGATTCACAACATCGAAAATTGAAATTGATACAGGGAAAAATCGAAGATGACGAGTTCAAGAGCACAAGAAGTTAGGGTTTTGATGGAGTGTTTAAAACCGAAAATGATAAGAAGTTTTGGAAGACGGTTTTGAGAACACAGATGAAGAAATTGAGTTTTTTTATTTTAATGTTCTTCCATCGTGCATAAGTATAAAATCTCAAAGTTATCACGTTTGTCCCTTTTTCGTCCATGGAAAATACGTCCTAGTATTTTTAGTCCCTTTTAATTTAAAAACTTACAGTTTGGTTCAAATATTATTTTAATTGTAAAATAAAATTACTTAATTACAAATATTCTAAAACAAATATTTTCATTTATTCTAAAATTTTACTTCTACTAATAGAGACAATGTATTTTTTTTCTAAAGTATACTAAAATTTTTATTATCGTAATTTTTTTATTATTGTAACATGATACTAAATCTAATTTCATTTATTCTTTTTATTAAAATATTGTAAAACAAAATTACATATTATATTAAAACGTTTTATTATTAAGTATTTTAATGAAACCAGAATAATCAGAATAATTCACATAAAACAAATTAGAATAAGCTTAATACAATATTAACAATATGTGTTTTAATCATTTATCATTTTACCAAACAATTTTTTAATCAAATAAATAGGCATCATCAAACAAAAAGTTTAAACGCAATATATCATTTACTATTAAGCAGTAAATATTTTATCAAGATACCAACTAACTGGTTTAAGCATATCATTTACCAAAATATCAATGGTTTAAGTATATCTTTAAACATAAGCATTTAAAAAAAATCAAAATAGAAAATAAAATGTCTGTATGTAATAAGCCAATATAAAAATTTTTCAAACTTTCTTCATTTCCAAATTGTCTCTTGCTTCACTGCCTTCTTTCACCAACATACACCTAGTTTTCTTATCAAGTTTTGAAAATTCCAATGCTTCTGTAACATTCAATTTTCTCTGCTTGTTGATTTGATGGTTTGCTAGCTTAGAAACATAAAATGTACGCAACTTTGCAATCTTTTTAGATGTCCTAACACTTTCTTCTCCCAGTTCCACATCCCATTTTTCTTCTTTCTCACCCATGTATTTTTCCATATGCCTCATCAAAAATATACCATCATCATTTGTCTTAGTTTTTGTTTGCCATGCCATTTTCATTTTCTTTGGCTTCATAGATTTAAACAAATTTAAAAATTAAGTACCATAATTTGAGTGTTGAAGAAGACACGTGGTGGTGATTTTTTTTCTCAGTTTCTTCTTCAAAATTAAGAACAACAGCCCAACAATCAATAACGAAAGGATGTATCTTATGATTTGGACGCATACCCTCAAAATGCACCCTATCCATTATGTCTCCAGACTCAGTTTCAAACAGCATTTCCCTTCAAACAAAAATATTGAATTGTAGTTAAAATATTCCAATAGAAATATTACACAATTATGAATTTACTTACATTGGATCTTTGTCTGCAATGCATCTAAACATGATTTGCGCCATTATCTCTTGCTGAGTACTGACTTTTTCACTTAAGTCAATTACCCTATTCACAAAAGGTGATCTAAAAATATATGGATTAGTCACCTTCCTTTTCCCTCTTTCATTCACATTCTGACCCTTTTTCCCTTTCTCATCTAAAATATGCTCTTCATTCCCTTCTAATTCTCCATCTTCATCATTACCCTCAGAATTATCACCAGTTTCTGCATTGTTCATTAGTTGGGTTATTTGAAGATCAAAGGAAGGAAATTCTGAATTTTCAAATGTTAGCTTTTTTGGAACAGGAGATCTGACAACTGGATTTTGAATTGTATTTGAATCTGGATTTCTGTTTGAGAATATTCTAAGCAAATCCTCATCCATTTTTTCTATGAATGAATTAGACCAAGGGGAAAAATCAATAGATATACCTTTTGGATTGTGTTTTGGTGTAACAATTGAGCTCTCACCTATGTTGTCTCCAACCACCTTCTCTACAATATCCCCTCCATAATATTCTCCCCACCAATCATTTCACCACCTTTAACAAGATTTTTGCTCTCAACATTGTCTTCTAAATTCTTTTTTTCAATAGTCTCGTCTATATTATTCACCTCTAAAGCCAAATTTATTTTGTTATCAACATTTATGCCTTCAAATTCTATTTGTCTTTCTGGATTATGCGGATGTCTAATCGTTTCCTCGCCAATATTATTCTCAAAACCCAAATTTATTCGGTCATCAACATTCATATCTTGATCTTCTTCTTGTGTTTCTTCATTCTCTGGAAACTTCTGTTGTAATGGTTTAACAGCTAAAAATGCAACCAACTTTGTATTCATTCCTTCATCTTTATCATCATCAGAATCAGAAATGTTTGTTTTATTAAGCTCTTCATCTCTATCTGATTTGACTTCAGTTCTCTCCATAATAGTTTCTGATTTCTCTCGACTAGAAAAAAATGTAGTTGAAGATATGTCTCTAAACTTTCTTATCATCTCCTTCGTTTTATTGTCTTCAGGGAACTTCGATAGACAATGAAAAATAATATCTTCCATATCATTCTTTTTAGTTGAGACATTGTTGAAAATTTTTTCATACTTTTCTTCATACTCCTGGGAAAAAAGACATTAGAATATTTTTCTTATATTAATTTAAGATATAATTAAAATATATTCTAAAACATAATTTAATAATATATTCTACTTAGAATATAACTCAATACGCGTGTCCTGATTTTCACCTGATTTTCATTCTTCTCAAGTTCTAAATTTGAACTTTGTTCGATTAGATTCCCAACCCCAAATCCATCAGCTTCAATCTCAAAAGATTGTCTTTCCTTCAACTTATCTGCTATCCACATCGTAACTAATGGTCTATCCACATCGTAACTAATGGTGTTTTACGTTCTATTTTTTGGAGCTTGCATTCAATATCATCACAGTAAATTAGCTGCATTATTTTAACATCATATTAGATATCCATTTTTAAGAAAAAAAATAAGTATATGAAAAAACATACCGATAGCAACAACATCGGGCCTATATAATAACACTTGGGGTTGTCTGGATGCCATCTCCCTTTTGATTTTTCACACAGTACAACAAATATGCACACCAATCGATTTTAGAAATTTCATCT